TCTTTTAAGTGTTAAGAAGAGTTAGGCACTTGGGTCGTTTTATGTCATTAGAAAAAATATGACTAAATGTGAAATTAATGGTGTCTTTAACACTTCTTGATAAGTATCTCTTAGATAATCTAACTTTAGTCATTTCTGACACAATGCACTTTGTAAAAATAACATGGATCAAGGGTGATAACTGTGTATGCTCAAAATCTAAAAAAATGAAGCAAGGGAAGTAACTTTAGAAAAAAATAATAAATGGCACCAATAAGAACTAATTCTTGATAAGTATCTCTTTGATAAGCTTGCAAAGTTTCACTGATGTTATTTCAGTAGTTTCTGAGAAACCTTGTTCCATTGCAGACACTGCACTGAGTTGAAAATCATGCAGCAAGGGCAATAACTCTGCAGAAAACTAATTTTCAGCACAAAGTATCTCTCTTTCATATTCATGTAACTTCAGTAGTTTCTGAGAAAACCTTTCGCCATTACACACACTAAATACTGAGTTTAAAAGCATGTTGCAAGGGCCTTAACTTAAAAATGCATTCCGTCACCAATTTTCGAACCATTTAAGATCATGACCAGCAGTATCAGTGTGTAAAATTTTTTATTTATCTATCTTCAATAGTTTATGAGAAAATTTGTCCCCTTTGAGAAGCAGACAGACGGATGAACTCTGTTCCTATGTCCCCTGCCCCACTTCATGCAGGGTAAATAGTGATTATGCCAGGTGTTCGAAAAGGTGAGCGTTTTCTGCCCCACCGGTATGGTTCTGTAACAGTAGACGCTACACTAGTCCACAAGACACCTCTGATAGTGATCATCTTGCTGTCATTTCTTCCTCTCGCTGGCAATGCATCAAGGTTGGCTTTTGAATACAATAAAAAAGGCTCCTGACGGTATCCCCAAGTCAAATTCAGATGCCAGTTTTCATCATGTTAATATCTTCAACTTTATTAAAGCAGCCCAAAACTATCAAAATGGAAATAATATGAAACAGCAATGTTTATTATTCATTTAAACACTTTCATCTAAAATTGGGCTTTTCTTTTTATGGGTTTAACTTTTAATATCTTTACTTCAAAAAGAATAGCCCAGTCCCAATGACATGTTTCTCGTCAACCTTTACATATTTGTCAGTTATAAATCTTCATCTTTAAACATCTGTAGAGAATAATGAACATATAATAAGACTCACAGTAAAGATGGGGCAGCGGGGCAGCCTTGTGGTTAAAGTGTTAGCTCGTAATGACGAAGACCCAGGTTCGATTCCCCATATGGGTACAATGTGTGAAGCCTATTTCTGGTGTCCTCCGTCGTGACATTGCTGGAATATTGCTTAAAGCAGCATAAAACAATATTCACTCACTCACAGAAAAGATAGTGAGTTGAGTCAGTGAGTGAATGTAGTTTTATGCCACTGTCAGCACTATTCCAGCTTCATCACGGCCTTTAAATAATTGATTTCTTCCCAGCCATTTACACAATATACCTACTTCCTACAGATGGAAAGTTGGTATATTTGTTGTTTAACGCCACACTCAGCAACATTCCAGCTATATGACTGCGGTCTGTAAATAATCAAGTCTGGACCAGAAAATCCAGTGATTCACATGATGAGCTTAATTTAAAGTTCCTTTGAAATATTTTATTCTGACGTGATCTTCAGAAATGAGGTCACGTCAGGTAAAAACTGAGCGAACTTGGGACTACCCAATCAAATTGGAAGGTGCATGATGTTTTGAGCCAATCACATGTCAACTTTTTAAAATGATTTGGCATTATTATATTATTAATTTCATAAGCACAGTCCATTGGCAAATGACTCATTAAGGTTCCTGAGAGTACACAAATCAAATATGGTGCACATGACTTGCTGACGCCTCCATGCTGACTGGCTTATGACAGAAAGTTCACCTGACCTTGCTGCCCATGGAGGGTTAGGTACACAGAGGTCTCAAGGATTAAAAGATCTGATTTGGTACCAGAAACTTATTAATGTTAACATTTTCTACATAAAGTTGACTATTCAATATTATAATGTAATTGTGTTGTCACCAAAGAAGTATTTTTAAAGCAGGTCCTACAGGTCTTACAATTCAAAAGTGAAACCTCCAAACATGTCCTACAATTCAAAAGTGAAACCTCCAAGCACGTCTTACAATTCAAAAGTAAAACCCCCAAGCAGGTCCTACAATTCAAAAGTAAATCCTCGAAGCAGGTCCTCCCATTCACAAGTAAAACCCCCAAGCACGTCTTACAATTCAAAAGTGACTCTCCCAAGCAGGCCCTACCATTCAAAAGTAAAACCTCCAGGCACATCTTTCAATTCAAAAGTAAAACCTCCAGGCACATCTTTCAATTAAAAAATAAATCCTCCAAGCAGGTCCTACCATTCAAAAGTAAAACCCCCAAGCAGGTCCTACAATTCAAAAGTGAAACCTCCAAGCAGGTCCTATAATTCAAAAGTAAAACCCCCAAGCAGGTCCTACAATTCAAAAGTAAAACCCCCAAGCAGGTCCTACAATTCAAAAGTGAAACCTCCAAGCAGGTCCTACAATTCACAAGTAAAACCCCCAAGCAGGTCTTACAATTCAAAAGTGACTCTCCCAAGCAGGCCCTACCATTCAAAAGTAAAACCTCCAGGCACATCTTTCAATTCAAAAGTAAAACCTCCAGGCACATCTTTCAATTAAAAAATAAATCCTCCAAGCAGGTCCTACCATTCAAAAGTAAAACCCCCAAGCAGGTCCTACAATTCAAAAGTAAAACCTCCAAGCAGGTCCTATAATTCAAAAGTAAAACCCCCAAGCAGGTCCTACAATTCAAAAGTAAAACCCCCAAGCAGGTCCTACAATTCAAAAGTGAAACCTCCAAGCAGGTCCTACAATTCAAAAGTAAAACCCCCAAGCAGGTCCTACAATTCAAAAGTAAAACCTCCAAGCAGGTCCTACAATTCAAAAGTAAAACCTCCAAGCAGGGCCTACCATTCAAAAGTAAAACCTCCAGGCACATCTTTCAATTCAAAAGTAAAACCCCCAAGCAGGTCCTACAATTCAAAAGTAAAACCCCCAAGCAGGTCCTACAATTCAAAAGTAAAACCTCCAAGCACGTCTTACAATTCAAAAGTAAAACCCCCAAGCAGGTCCTACAATTCAAAAGTAAAACCCCCAAGCAGGTCCTACAATTCAAAAGTAAAACCTCCAAGCAGGTCCTACAATTCAAAAGTAAAACCTCCAAGCAGGGCCTACCATTCAAAAGTAAAACCTTCAGGCACATCTTTCAATTCAAAAGTAAAACCCCCAAGCAGGTCCTACAATTCAAAAGTAAAACCCCCAAGCAGGTCCTACAATTCAAAAGTAAAACCTCCAAGCAGGTACTACAATTCAAAAGTAAAACCCCCAAGCAGGTCCTACAATTCAAAAGTAAAACCCCCAAGCAGGTCCTACAATTCAAAAGTAAAACCCCCAAGCAGGTCCTCCCATTCAAAAGTAAAACCCCCAAGCACGTCCCACTTGAAAGTCTACCTCTCACAAGGTGACAAAGAGACAGCAAGGTACTGACAACACAAAAGGTGAAAGTAGCAGGTCTATTTTTAACAAACATGACCTACACACATCAACATCAGACAAATGTGAAACTCAATACCCAATTACACATTAGTCATCATATTCCTCGGTTGACTGGCAAATCAATAATGCCACACAACAGAGCTTTTTCTATTTTTATACAAAATGCTGACAGCATTACACAGTTTCTCTTTCTAGGACACTGACTGATGGCAGCCAAAATGGTCCAAATAAATCTTTCAGTTTCGGTGTGTTTAGAGAAGAAATATCCTGTCAAAAGTTTCTAAAATCATGAACATATCCTAATGACACTTGTCACTAGCAGATCACGAGATTAAAAGGAGGGTGGAATATAATTGGCAATGTTGATCGATCTCTGCATTTTTAATAAAGTAGTTGGAAAACACTGCATGTCAATAGGATAAGACTAATTACAAAAAGTAATGATATCATTACAATGTTAACCTTCTGTTATTTAACACTGAACTATGTAAAACAGTGTTTGATGAACCTCTTCGCAAGTCTTACTTGGATCACCACATTTCAGAATTATACACTATCAATCTTGTCATACTGATGCTTCAATTTGAACTAATTGACTTTTATGAGTGATTGAATATGTGAGTACGGTTTAATGCCGCATTTAGCAATATTCAAGCAACAACATGAGAATTCAGCTTAACACATTGTACCCATGTGGGGAATAGAACTCGGGCCTTTGGAATGACGAGCAAACGCTTTAACCACAAGGCTACCCCCACCACACCTATTTGACTTTGTATACATAAAACTAATTTATACATATATTGGGTGAACTTTTGAAAGTTGATCTGTCGTGTGACACAATATTTAAGAGTGAGTGAGTGAGTGAGAGTGAATGAGTGAGAGTGAGTGAGTGAGTGAGTGAGTGAGTGAGTGAGTGAGTGAGTGAGTGGTATTATGCTGCTTTCTTTCAACAATATCACAGTCAAGGATATCGGTAATGGGTTTCACATTTTGTTCCCATGTGAGGAATCAAACCTGGATAATCAGCATGATGAATGACAGCTTTAACCACTAGGCTACCCGACCGCCCCTCTCCCCAAGAGAGACTGGCTGTATGTGGAACACTGTGGTTGTCATTACATGAGAATCTTGTTTCCCTGACTGTTTTGGTTTGATTTGGATTGTTGTTTTACGCCGCACTCAGCAATATTCAAGCTATATGATGGCAGTCTGTCGAGTCGAGTCTTGACCAGACAATCCAGTGATTGATCTCATGAGCATCAATCTATGACGATACGTTTTTCACTATTTGAGATTGGACATCACAATATCATACCATATATAATCAGTGTGTTGTAGTTGTATCTGATTTACACATCACGTTTCGTATGACAGTCTTCATCTGCAAAAACTGCAAAACATGTTTACAAAAACATCTACTATTTGTCTATGTTTCAGGCACCAATGCTTCTGGTATGGCCGACTACAATGATTACGCTGCCCTGTATGAAAACCACTGCAGCGATGACTTCCTGGACCAATCAGAGCTCAAAGTCAGCAACATCATCAAGCGCTACATCTATCCCATCATCCTCTTCATTGGAACTGTGGGTAATCTGACGTCAATCCGCTACCTGCATAACCTGAGTGTGAATGTCTGGTCAACATGCTTGTATCTCACCGTCCTCTCCTTCATCGACCTTGTCACCCTCTACGTCGACTGCGGCAACAAGTGGTTCGAGATCGTGTCCGACATCAACCTAAGCGTAAAGATCAGTGAGACCTCTGGTGCCGTTTGCAAGGTTTATCCTTTCATTTTCCAGTTCTTCCTCCACTTCAGTCCCTGGATCGTCGTGGCAACATCAGTGGAGCTAACCATCGCCTCAAAGTTTCCACATCTGACCTATAAGATGTGCACACGGGAACGAGCCAAGGCTGTGATGCTGCTTACAACAGTTTTGTTACTTTGTCTCAACATGCACTACTTCTGGACCTACGGACTCGTGAAGTACGCGGAAACTCCGGACCACATCGTTACAGTCTGTGTCTACATTGAAGAGTTCTCAGAATACTTCCGGGACCAAATATGGCCCTTCATCAACCTTGCAGTCGGACATATTGCCCCCCTTGTGGTCGTCACAGCTTGTTTTTTCATAACCATATCCTCATATCTAAAATCAGACAATGCATGCAAAGTCAAGCTGGAACAGTACTTCATGGACTTGAAATCTCTCCAGCAGTTGAGGGTCACTTTCATCGTCATCTGTTTGTTCTATGTGATTGTGGTAACGATGAAGATCCTGCTGGTTATCGTCAACTATCTCATTGCTCAAAGGATCGTCCTCATTCCCTGTGCTCTGGAGTCCCGTGTGTTGGCCGTCATGATGTTGCTCGGATCGCTATGGGACATGCTGTTTTACTTGTTCCTCAGCGTAAAGTTCTTCATATATATGGCCACATGTACAAGATTTCGCTATGAGATTTATCAACTTGTGTGTCGCATTGGGCGTGGGCTTCATCGAAAAGACAGAGTGACCTTGACCTCAGGAAACCGCTACGATGCCAAGCCACTGATGCAGCATGGTAACAATGTGAGAAATAGTGTTTCCTATTCACAAAGGAAGGGTCTAGCAGAGGATGCATGTTCTGGTGTTACAACTGCTGTGTGAGCAGACGCAGAGATATGATGCTTCCTACAGTTTCTCCTTCCATGGCTCCCCAGCATTAGCTCCTCCTCCATCCTGGCAACACACCAGTGGCGAAATGTATATAGTGTTGAAAATACGGTCAGTATGGTTGTGTGAAGACTATACTTTGTGCATATATGTGAGGGAGCGGGATTTCTATGTGACTCTGGTCATCAGTGTGTGGAGATTCCACTCTATTGCTCATCATTGTGTGGAGATTCCACTCTATTGCTCATCATTGTGTTGGGGTTTCACTCTACTGGTCATCAGTGTGTGGAGATTCCACTCTATTGCTCATCATTGTGTGGAGATTCCACTCTATTGCTCATCATTGTGTTGGGGTTTCACTCTACTGGTCATCAGTGTGTGGAGATTCCACTCTATTGCTCATCATTGTGTTGGGGTTTCACTCTATTGGTCATCGGTGTGGAGATTCCACTCTATTGCTCATCATTGTGTTGGGGTTTCACTCTACTGGTCATCAGTGTGTGGAGATTCCACTCTATTGCTCATCATTGTGTTGGGGTTTCACTCTATTGGTCATCGGTGTGGAGATTTCACTCTATTGGTCATCGGTGTGGAGATTTCACTCTATAGGTCATCGGTGTGGAGATTTCACTCTATTGGTCATCGGTGTGGAGATTTCACTCTATAGGTCATCGGTGTGGAGATTTCACTCTATAGGTCACCGGTGTGGAGATTTCACCCTATGTGACTGGGCGGTCATCACAGTGTGGTGATTTCACTCTATTGGTCATCTGTGTGTGGAGATTTCAATCTATGTGACTGTGTGGTCATCTCTGTATGCAGCTTTCACTCTATGTGACTGGGCAGTCATCGGTGTGTGGTGATTTCACTCTATTGGTCATCGGGGTGTGGAGATTTCACTCTATTGGTAATCGGTGTGTGGAGATTTCACTCTATTGGTCATCGATGTGTGGAGATTTCACTCTAGTGGTCATCAGTCTGTGGAGATTTCACTCTATGTGACTGCGTGGTCATAGGTGTGTGGATTTCAATCTATGTGACTGCGTGGTCATAGGTGTGTGGAGAATTCAATCTATGTGACTGGGTGGTCATCACGGTGTGGGGATTTCAATCTATGTGACTGGGTGGTCATCACGGTGTGGGGATTTCAATCTATGTGACTGCGTGGTCATAGGTGTGTGGAGATTTCACTCTATTGGTCATCAGTGTGTGGAGATTTCAATCTATGTGACTGCGTGGTCATAGGTGTGTGGGGATTTCAATCTATGTGACTGCGTGGTCATCGGTGTGTGGAGATTTCACTCTATTGGTCATCAGTGTGTGGAGATTTCAATCTATGTGACTGTGTGGTCATAGGTGTGTGGAGAATTCAATCTATGTGACTGGGTGGTCATCACGGTGTGGGGATTTCAATCTATGTGACTGCGTGGTCATAGGTGTGTGGAGATTTCACTCTATGTGACTGTGTGGTCATAGGTGTGTGAAGAATTCAATCTATGTGACTGGGCGGTCATTGGTGTGTGGAGATTTCACCCTATATAACCGTGAGATCTACATGAAGATAATGACACAGCTGTGTGTATTTTTCACTCCATAAGCAGAAATAGTGAAGTTGTGTCCCAAATTTACCAAATAAAATTAAAACGAAGCCGATGTGAGCAGTTGTGTCCAGATACAACGTCTCATGATTGGAGGATGCAGTGGAAATATTTCCAAATGGATGTGTTGTGAGGATGATGGCTGTTAAATAGACATCTACATACTCAGGTGGACCTTAATCAAAATGTGACAGGACACTTGTCAGCTGAAACTGATCACCACACAAAATGGCGGAGCCTATTACCAACAGAATCTTTATATGATACTCGGTAACTTCAACAAACCATACAATATAGACAAAGCTTGAAGGCTGGAAAGGTTGGGCTGCAACTTTACCTGAAACATCTACTGAATAGTGATAACATATAAGGACACCCCTTATAAAGTCTGAATATTTATAAGCCATCAAAACACCTTTAATAGTACACAAACAAACTCAAGCTTGCGGTCTAGTGTCAATTTGTAGTGAGTGAGTGAGTGGGTGGGTGGGTGGGTGAGTGAGTGAGTGAGTGAGTGAGTGAGTGAGTGAGTGAGTGAGTGAGTGAGTGAGTGAGTGAGTGAGTGAGTGAGTGAGTGAGCGAGTGAGCGAGTGAGTGAGCGAGAGTTCGGTTTAATGCAACTTTGAACATTATCTTAGTTATATCAAGACAATATTTTGCCAGCTTGGTGTCGGGTAAAGCCCGAAGTGAGTGAGTGAGTGAGTGAGTGAGTGAGTGAGTGAGCAGGCGAGAGTTCGGTTTAATGCAACTTTGAACATTATCTTAGTTATATCAAGCCCGAAGTGATGCAGGTCTTAAACGTTTACCACTTTGGTGAAACCCACGCGGAAGGGTATGGTGCCAACAAACGGAAACATATTCAGGGTGTACAGGGATTCGTAACTGTGATCATAGGTTTCCATGTGATGAAAAGCAAGCACCCTGCAATATCAATAAATATCAGTTAAAAGATGGACATTCAAGTCACGATGAGTAAGAAGACTTCAGTAAAGGCGGTTCTGAAAAGTGTCACTCAGAGAGTAGAACAGAACAGCATGTTGTTGAAACTTTCATACTTCAAACAGTTACACAATAATGAAGACCTGGTGTGTAACAGTTTCATTAACCATGAGATCACATACATCTATCTGTTGATAACAAGAATAAATAGGTCTGTAGCTTAAAAGGGGGGCACGGGTGGCCCAGTCGTCTAAGGCGCCGTGATTCGCTGTGCAGAGTTGCATCCCTTGGGCATGCCAGAAACCTATGACTGTGGGTTCGAATCCAGGTTCGCCCCGTTTATGTTTCTCGTGGGTTTAACTGAAGTGGTAACGTCTGAGACCTGCATCGGTCTTTCCTCCCACATTCAGCTGACACGCGGTGATATAACTGGAATACTGTTACAAGTGGTGTTAAACCCAACTCACTCACTCTGTCACTTAAAACTTTGGTACTTCAAACTCCTATAGATAGATGATGATCTAGCTGCTGATACTTATCATATTCATCATCAGAACAATAAGTGAGTTAACATTAATGGTTTTGTTATTTATATTTATGAAACAAAGAATGATATTGTAATCAGACATTTGGGCATTTTTTGTGCTCCTCTCTTAAGTCAATTTCCAAGTTGATGTGAGACATCAGTAATGACATACGTATATATGCTGAACAATCAACAGACGCTGTTAATCTGGAGATTACTGTGTCACCAAATTCATGTCCTTGTCCAGTCCTTGTTTTAGCCCCTTAATGCCGAGCGCCAGACAGGGTAACAACAAGTACCATCTTTTAACGTCTTTTTGTATGACGCGGCCGGGGATAAAACCCCGGACCTTCCGCTCTCCGGGCGGACGCTCTACCACTAGACCACGGAGGCGGTCTCCATACAGTTTGGAGACATAGCAATGGATTTGAATAACAGTATTTACTTCTCACACACTTCACTCCTCCCCAGATTAGTGATTGGACTCCTATAATTTGCCTTCAAGGCATCAACACAAAAGATAAGACAAGGATTTTAGGTGTGAAACAGAAATAGTTTTAACCACTTGACATTTTTTCATCCATTTAAAAAAAATTCTCTTTGTGTAAAAGCTGAGGCCAACAGTTTTTCCATTGTTTTATAAACAATTTGTCTATTTTGTTTAAATTAGGAGCTTCATGTGATGAGTGCTATTGTTTCCTGTATGTATATATATATGTTTAATCATGTATGGGAGGCCATAGGCCCATGTACATTTCAGTTTTATATAGTAACACACAACTGAGGCAATTTACATTGAAAACAATACTAAGGGTACAATATTAGGTCTTTGTACGTAATAATAGAGCTTCCTTCACATACTTAGCTACATTTCTGAGTATAGTCATTTTGGCTATTTAAGAGCTAAAAGTATTAATACATGGATTGTTATAGAATCTTACAGGAATATACTTTTGTCTTAATGATGCGTAAAACGGGCAGACAAACACAAAATGGATTTCGTCCTCAATACAACCATTGTTACATAGCCGACAAAAGCGTTGTGAATAAACAATATTCTCTCTTCTGCCCAGATTACTCCGTATAGGCAATTCACTTAATCTCAACAGGCACAGCATACGTCTATGGTCTCTATTTCTGAAAGCTGTATGTGCTGTGAATGTGACATGACAAGAAAGCCTTGGAGCGTGCCCTGATAAAAGTTTATTTCTTTATTAAAACAAGCAGGGATCATCTTCATTCTCTATACTAAGTTGCTGTTGCTGTTGCTGCTGCTGCTGCTGATGATGATGATATTGAGATTTAATGAGTTTAATAACAGTTCAGTACAAATCATGCTCTTTCTCATCAAGTCAAGGACATTCAAACATCCTTAATCTGTCCACCTGTTGACGTCCGCTGTACATATATGTATCTGTTGTAGATTAGATTCGCAGACTGGCATCGCAAGATGTGCATTAATATTACTGCCCTGTCACAGATAGATGGGAGCAGATGATGTATAACTTTGCTGTGTAATAAAGACTGCTTACAGATCACGGTATTGCTCTGTCAGTGATGGGAGGCTGTGGTTGAACCTTGAGAGAAGGGAATGCACAAACAACAGCAACTCCTTAAGGGATTGAGAGTTTTGTTCAAGTTTTGTCCAAGACAGAAATATTTGAGCGGTCACTGCTTCAAGACATATACTGGTTTAACGCCACTTTTAGCAATATTCCTGCCATATCACGGTGGGGAAACACCAGAGTGAGTGAGTGAGTGAGTGAGTGAGTGAGTGAGTGAGTGAGTGAGTGAGTGAGTGAGTGAGTGAGTGAGTGAGTGAGTGTATATGATTTCACGTCACTTTTAGCAATATTCCTGACATATCGAAACTAGGGAACACCGGAGTAAGTGAGTGACTTTAATGATTTTACGTCACTTTTAGCAATATTCCTTCCATATCATGGTGGGGGAACACCAGAGTGAGTGAGTGGCTGAATATGATTTTACTCCACTTTTAGCAATATTCCTGCCATATCACAGTGGGGGACCACCAGAGTGAGTGAGTGACTGAATATGATTTTACTCCACTTTAAACAATATTCCTGCAATATTACAGCGGGGGAACACCAGAGTGAGTGAGTGGCTGAATATGATTTTACTCCACTTTTAGCAATATTCCTGCCATATCACAGCGGGGGAACACCCACCAGAGTGAGTGAGTGGCTGAATATGATTTTACACCACTCAAGACAGGGGAACACCAGAGTGAGTGAGTGAATATGTATGATTTTACTCCACTTTTAGAAATATTCCTGCCATATCACAGCTGGGGAACACCAGAGTGAGTGAGTGGCTGAATATGGTGTTGCACCACCACCTCTAACAAGCAGGGAACTGCATACCACACAGTAACACAACAATGGAAGCCTTCAAGTGAGTGAGTGAAAGTCTTATACCACATTAACACAACAATGGAAACCTTCAAGTGAGTAAGTGAAAGTCTTATACCACACAGTATCATAACAATGGAAGCTATCAAATGAGTGAGTGAACGTCTTATACCACACAGTATCACAACAATGAAAGCTATCAAATGAGTGAGTGAAAGTCTTATACCACACAGTATTATAACAGTGGAAGCTATCAAATGAGTGAGTGAACATCTTATACCACACAGTTACACAACAATGGAAGCCTTCAAGTGAGTGAGTGAAAGTCTTATACCACACAGTATTATAACAATGGAAGCCTTCAAGTGAGTCAGTGAAAGTCTTATACCACACAGTATCACAACAATGGAAGCTATCAAATGAGTGAGTGAAAGTCTTATACCACACAGTATCACAACAATGGGAGCCTTCAAGTGAGTGAGTAAAAGTCTTATACCACACAGTATCACAACAATGGAAGCTATCAAATGAGTGAGTGAAAGTCTTATACCACACAGTATCATAACAATGGAAGCCTTCAAGTGAGTGAGTAAAAGTCTTATACCACACAGTATCACAACAATGAAAGCTATCAAATGAGTGAGTGAAAGTCTTATACCACACAGTATCATAACAATGGAAGCCTTCAAGTGAGTGAGTAAAAGTCTTATACCACACAGTATCACAACAATGAAAGCTATCAAATGAGTGAGTAAAAGTCTTATACCACACAGTATCATAACAATGGAAGCCTTCAAGTGAGTGAGTGAAAGTCTTATACCACACAGTAACACAACAATGAATGCCTTCAAGTGAGTGAGTGAACGTTTTATACCACACAGTAACACAACAATGGAAGCTATCAAATGAGTGAGTGAAAGTCTTATACCACACAGTATCACAACAATGGGAGCCTTCAAGTGAGTGAGTAAAAGTCTTCTACCACACAGTATCACAACAATGGAAGCTATCAAATGAGTGAGTGAAAGTCTTATACCACACAGTATCATAACAATGGAAGCCTTCAAGTGAGTGAGTAAAAGTCTTATACCACACAGTATCACAACAATGAAAGCTATCAAATGAGTGAGTGAAAGTCTTATACCACACAGTATCATAACAATGGAAGCCTTCAAGTGAGTGAGTGAAAGTCTTATACCACACAGTAACACAACAATGAATGCCTTCAAGTGAGTGAGTGAACATTTTATACCACACAGTAACACAACAATGGAAGCTATCAAATGAGTGAGTGAAAGTCTTATACCACACAGTATCACAAGGGAAGCCTTCAAGTGAGTGAGTGAAAGTCTTATACCACACAGTATTATAACAATGGAAGCCTTCAAATGAGAAAGTGAAAGTCTTATACCACACAGTATCACAACAATGAAAGCTATCAAATGAGTGAGTGAAAGTCTTATACCACACAGTATCATAACAATGGAAGCCTTCAAGTGAGTGAGTGAAAGTCTTATACCACACAGTAACACAACAATGGAAGCCTTCAAGTGAGTGAGTGAAAGTCTTATACCACACAGTAACACAACAATGGAAGCCTTCAAGTGAGTGAGTGAAAGTCTTATACCACACAGTATTATAACAATGGAAGCTATCAAATGAGTGAGTGAACGTCTTATACCACACAGTAACACAACAATGGAAGCCTTCAAGTGAGTGAGTGAAAGTCTTATACCACACCGTATCACAACAATGGAAGCTATCAAATGAGTGAGTGAAAGTCTTATACAACACAGTATCATAACAATGGTGGCTATCAAATGAGTGAGTGAAAGTCTTATACCACACAGTAACACAACAATGGAAGCCTTCAAGTGAGTGAGTGAAAGTCTTATAACACATTAACACAACAATGGAAGCCTTCAAGTGAGTGAGTGAAGGTCTTATACCACACAGTAACACAACAATGGAAGCCATCAAGTGAGTGAGTGAACGTTTTATACCACACAGTAACACAACAATGGAAGCCTTCAAGTGAGTGAGTGAAAGTCTTATAACACATTAACACAACAATGGAAGCCTTCAAGTGAGTGAGTAAAAGTCTTATACCACACAGTAACACAACAATGGAAGCCTTCAAGTGAGTTAAAAGTCTTATACCACACAGTAACACAACTATGGAAGCTATGAAATGAGTGAGTGAAAGTTTTATACCACACAGTAACACAACACTAACATCATGGAAGCTATCAAGAAAGTGAGTGAGTCTTATGCCATACAGTACCACAACAGTAACATCATGGCAGCTTTCAAGTGAGTGAGTGAAAATTGTTTATACTACAATCAGCAACATAGCAGTAATATCATTGAAGCCTTCAAGCGAGTGAGTGAAAGTGGTTTATATCACTATAAGCAGCAACACACTGATGGTGATCACCCATTGATCTGT